AAATTTTTTTTTTTTTTAAATTAAATCTTAATCCGAAACTATAAAAATTCCAAATTCCAAATCTGAATTTTCTAAACTGAATTAATTCATACGAAAATAATAAAATTATACCGCAAAAATTTTCAAATTTAACAAAACATATAACCAAAAATTGTTAAATCTGAAAATTTCAAAATGTATTGCAAGAACCAAACTAAAACCTTTGATTCTCAATGATTCAACATGAAGAGGCTCTGATACCACTTGTTGGATAATTTAATACTTTAAAATACCGGATCTTTCATGTTAAATCATCAAGAAATATAATAATTAAAGCGGAAGCATACCTGAGTCTGACATGGTTAATGCAATATGGATTTCGCGGTATGATCTTCCAAATCTACACGCAGTCTCCTATTCCTCTCTGTGATGGAATGCAGTAGAGAATGAACAATAATCTGTTGCGTGTGATCTGGGGACCATAACCTATTTATATGAGGATGCCCTTTGACCTAATTCGGCCCATCATAAAATTAGGACTTGGGCCCGGTCTCTACACATATGTAAACCCATACTTTAATTGGATACATTAAAGCCCAAAAATCGAAACCTCATTAGATCACTTTAATTGGACTCAACCGAATTCGATAGCCTATAATTTAACACACAATTATTCACACATACAAGCCCATCTTTAATTAAAAATTCTTATAATCCAAACATACTTAAATTGATTGTGCTCGTGCTCGTTGAGAACATTGATTGAAAAATAAAAAATAAAATCCCAAACTGAGTCTTCAAGGTGCTCTTACGTGAACTCACTTTTTTATCATCCATTTACTACGTTCATAGTTTTCATAAATAAGAAGCGACAGAACTTATTCATTATACGGTCACACATGTAGATTCACTTGTTAATTCTATAAAGAAAGAGAGAATAGGTAGAACGAGAATTGATGACTTTACGAGTCTTGACATATCTTCTCATCTTCTTGCACGCAAACGGAAAGCTAAAGAAATGTGCTATATCATGTATGCCTGCTTTTGACCACTCCTCTCTCCGGTAGTGAAAGTGGGTAGAATCATTCTGGTACTTAGATAGGGAGAGTTGGAGAGACTGAGAGAGAAGCTCTGTTCAAGTTCGAAGATGAGCTTGTTGATAATCACGGTCGACTCTCTTCTTGGGGAACTATAGAAGTAAATAAAGAGGTACCCAGAGTCACAACGAAATAAAGCGCATAGTTGTGTTGGATCTGGATGGCCAATCTGTCCTCTAGACCTCAACCACAAGGATTTTTTATCCAAGCACAGTTTTATATTCACTGGCTCCCTTACAAGATTACATCTTGATCTTTCATATTCCAATCAAAGTGCCAACCTTTCCCAATTGCAATTTCTTAGATCGGGCACAATTAAGGTTTGATAATAGCAGACGTTAGAACAAACAAAATAGGCCAGATGACGCTGGAAAACCAGTATAATGAATGATTTTAAGTTATTTTTTTCATATCAAACAAGTCATCTAGGTACTGAAACTGCTGCAAAGTACATGCTCCATCAGGTTGATCCTAGCATCTACTTGCCAAAAAAAAGGATGTAATTCCCTCTATTTTCATTGTGCCATTGATCAGTTAATAACAATTATTTTCAAAGATACACATTCACTCGATATAAATGAAAAGTAGATAAATCAATATAAAGCTAACCGTTGAGTCTTTCTACACGAGGGTTTCCAGTAGGATTAAGCGATAGTGGATTAATAATTTTTCATCGTCATGGCCCTCCAAGTATAGCATTCTCAATATCTTCTCTACTCAGTGCATAACTAAATCTCCTTTCGACGTCTTTCTCAAGTTCTCCTGGTCCACTCTTTAGATACCTGCATTCAATTCCAAAGAGCTGTTAGAAACTTGAAATTACTAAAAATTGAGAAAGAAATTATAGAAGTTTGTTCGACAGGAGAGTAGCAAACATAATGAAGAAAGACGAGATATTTAGCCAGTCGGAAGTTAATATAAAGCAGGAAAGTAATTAAGTAATATCTTCAATGTAGAAATTCTGAAATTGACTCGAGAGTTCTACTTTACCTTTTTTTATCTTATGCACTTACCGATCTCTTGACTTCGACAATTCCAATATGTTGGCACATTAAAAGCAGAAAAAGAATAGAAAAGACATTGAATCTTCTGTCAATTTACATGTTGTCTTAAGAAACGTCCTCAACTCCATCTACAAATCTTTATAGTCAGTCTCAAACCCAGATAAAAGTGAAGAGTTGGTAGACTTTATATTATAAATGACCATCTTGGTTTGCTCTTTCTAAAAATACTCATGGTTCGACCACAGCCCATTAGACTACAGGTGAAGGTTTTTGAATTATTTTCAAACCAACCAAACCAAACCAAACCAAACCATTTTTTTTGCAGTTCGGTTTGGTATCAAACCATGATTTTATCGACATAAAAATAACATCTTTCAAAAAATTGAAAAAATAAATATATTGGTCTAAAATCTCGATATAGTACGTAAATTGAAACATTCTAAACATACACATTAAATTATTAATATATATTTGTCTCAATACAAGCTTAACCAACGCATTGATACAAGGTTCAACCATAAAATTTAAGCTTACAAATTCATTAGTTTTGAAATAGATAAGAAAAATGAATAGTTCGATTTGATTTCAAGCAATTTTTAACCATTAAATCTAAACCGAACAATTTCCAAACAGTTTTGTTTGGTTTTTTAAAATGTTGAAACCTAAACCGAATAAATTTCATACCAACGATTTCAAAACCGCAATTTCGATTCTGTCTGCAGGTTGGCGGTTTCTTTATTCACCTCTACATTAGACCATTCAATATTGTTAAGGGTAAAACCGAAATTAAAAAAGTAACCAACAAGGCTGACTTTTTAAGATGAAAACCTAAAAAGCAAAATAAACATCAAAACATTTATTATATCGCCCTTCTTTTTACTAGAATAACCTTTAGATCAGAAGAAATAGTTTGCAAATAGATAAAATATTTTATAACCCTGTTATGATACGAAGATAGTCCAAGAGACAAACTTAAAAGAATTGAAAAATATACTATCCAACAAAGCAAATTTCATATCCAGTCACCAGTGAGCAAGATAAAAACTAGCTACTGCTTAAGTAGCAAGAGAACCTTACTTATGGTTCTCTAGCAGGAGGATCAATTTCATCCAACAAAGGAATCCCAGACAGACAAGCAGTAGGACTAAAAACAAACTTATGGATTCTCAATTGACAAAATGGTTAACTTTAGTTCATATATATGGGGAAGTTCATCTGTAAAATCTACATGCAAAGTAACTGACATATGGAGGAGGAAAAGTAAAGAAAACACTACAAGGATGGACAAAAATGATTTCGTATCTTTTTTATTAAGGTGGATAGAACTTAAGGCTTCAATAAACATAATTCAAAGACGAAAGCTGTGGATAGTATCTTAGCTTTTGTATATTTCAACAGAGCAGACAATCAATCTTAATCTTAGTGTTACATCAAGTAGTTTTTCCGGAAGACTCAAAATATGGTACAATTCAAAGCCTCTGGTCGATGAGACTTGAATTAAATCTTTTAAAATGATTGGATTCCTAAATGTATTCAGAATAAGTTGCATTAATTAGTCATGTGTACTGCTCGATTGCTGTTAATCTACTCTATACAGTGGTTGGATATTTTACACCAATATTGTTTAGAATCAAGAAATACATATTGCAACTTAGAAATTGAACAAGTGTTGCAATCACCAGCATAGTTGGCACTATGGGACCATGCAACCTCTTGGCTCACATTTCCTCCCTTTTTTCAATGTGAAAAACTGTGTGATCAATAGTTCGTCAAATGTAACTCATGCCATTGCAAACACTATGCTAAGCAGTGTCAAGGACCTCAAGGTAAGATAAGTGCTCTCAAGTCTTAATCGCTAACTTTGAGAGCAATAATAAGCATGAAGAAATAAAAAATAAAAATCACAAAGCAAACCCAGATTTATAGTAGTTCACCGCCAGTACAAGAGATTTTTCCACTTGCCACCACAAGTTTTTGTTAAAACAGACAAGCAAGCAAGGAAGCAGAATGTTTTTATAAAGACAAAGCAAACAAAGCTATACAGTGGTTCACCCTCAATACGAGAGCTACTTCCACTTGCCACCACAATATTTTACTAAAATAAGTTCACAATGGAGAGATCTCACACCTCTCAGTGTGTGTATCTTTAAAAATCGGCACCCTCGAGTTGCTATAGATATCGTTGAATATAGCTCGACCAACAATCATGCAAGAATAGTATAATTATGCTTCACATAGTGCAACATAAGAAAGTCCAATAGTTGCTGTATGCTCTGTGTTTGTAAGTTCTTTATAACGGATTTTATGAGCACTTCTTTAATGCCAATTTGCTAGCTTCTCTTTACAACTCTGTTGTATTTTATCTGATCCTACACAATCGAGACTAAAAATGTAAATCCTCCATACATCTTCACCTATCAACAAGCCAAAACCCCAAACTTCATTAAAATATTATCCATCACCCAGCAACCAATAAATTATCCAAAAACCTTAATTTTCCCTTCCACAAAAGTAACACTAAATGTATCCTTGCCATCAAGCTGCACTATTTTCTTCTCCGGTTAAAACAAATGCCCAATGATCTAGCCATACTGCTCCAACTTGTAAATTTAACACTAAACTTGATTCCAGAATCCAAATCTATCTGCAATTTCGTTGGTTGATCCATCCGCTCATCCCTCCTCAGAAGGGAATGATGTCCAGAGAAAGGAATATACATCCACCGTTCATTGGGGTGATCAAACTATTCGTTCCCAGTTCCAATTGCATTTGTAACAGTAGCACTCTCGCCCATCTGTCACCATAAGCTCAATCTGAACTTTGCCGTTACTGGCAAGATTAATCATCTGACTTATTCTAATAATAATTGGAAGGAAAACAGTTAACCAGTCAAACAATACTGACAATGACATCTGTTGTGGATTAGAAATTCACAAACTCATTATGATATCCAAATGAACTTCCAATTAAGAAGTAACGGAATAAAAAAAATCCATTCCCGTCCGATTAGCTAAATTAGTCCAAGCAGGAATCTGCCATTACCATCCAAACAAGAATGAAGAAGCTATCAACACTATTCCTCCCACAACTGTAAAAAGATTCTTCAACAAGCTTAAGGTATGCCGTAGTATACATGAGAGTGTATATTTCCCAGTTTCAACTATATTTAGAATCGTTAAATACTGACTTAGGCATTAAATGAAGATACATTACATCCTTCGTTGCATGTATTGCTTCATGATAAAGAAGGATAAACAAGGAAGCAAATTTTGACTGCAACAACATAAACACACACTAAACAAACCAAAATGCTCATTTATCTCTAACAAAAATATATGAAAAATACTAATTTTAATTTAAGGGAAAAAAAAAAAAAACCTCTAAAACTCCAATATTTAATCATCAAATGCAAGCCTTAATACGATCAAACCTTATGCAAAGATCAGTGACATCGAGCGAGAGTTTGGCATGCCAATCAGGTTTCTCTACAAACCAAGCAGCTCTATCTTCTCTACTCTGATAAAACCCAAGACTTCTCAACCAGGCCTCTATGCATGGCAAGCTGTGAGCGTATATTGGCTTCTTTTTCTCCGGCAACCTTTGAAGCCACTCGTCCTCTGCTTCGGACACCTCTGCTTCTTCTGATGATTTTGACTGAAATAGGGTCTTTCTCGATGTGGAAATGGAAGATAAATTTTGGATACCCGATGAGAATTTCTTTGAAAATAAAGGGAGTGCGGTGGAAATTCTTGGATTGGAGGATGATAGTGTTGAAGAAACTGTAATGAATTTGAAGGTAGAAATGGTGTGCATTATTATTTGTGATTTTATTCTATTTCTTATGATTCTTTATTTTCTCTCACCTGTTATGTAGCAATGAATTTGAGGGTGGAAGAACTAGTTAAAAGTCGAATTTACAGAGAGATTTCAAGAAAATGTTGGAGAAGATGAAGATAGGGTTTAAACGTTGTCGTATTTCTTGCTATCATGCGTTTGTCACGTGATAGTGCGAAATTAAAAGCGCGTCGAATTAACTAGGTGCCAAAAAGCGGCATTGTATTAATGTACGCACTCACTCTTTTGATTCAGTCTTTTATTAATTTCATTGTTATTTCATTAAATCTTTCCCCTTACTTGAAAGTAACAGAAAGTTACGTTTTGAGGAAATAAGAAACTTTTATTTTATTATTAAAATAAGTAATCTATTTATTTTAAACTTTTATCATCAAAAAACTACTTAGCCCTTGATAAGGACTAAAAATTTATTTTAATAAAAGTTGATAAAATATTGGTTGAAAAGTCGTGAATTTCATAAAATATATTGTTAAAATTAATTGTTGACTTTGATTTAAAATAAAATCTAAATTTTAATCCTTATCAAACAAGTACTTGCTGTAAAACTTATTTCAAACTTATCAAATATACCTTTATCTACTTTAAAACTTATTTCGAACTTATCAAACATACCTCTATCTCCTTGATTTCATCTATGGAAAAGTATATCCTACAGACATACCATTAATCAAACAAATTCTTGTCCTAAAACCTTGTCAAGAACGAGTTTTTGTAATTCATTTGCATTATATAGACATGCTTAACTCCCAAAATCCCTCACAATAAACAACAAATTGCTTGCCACCAATGGCTACAAGCAGCAATATTGCTGTGCTTAATGCTCTTGACAATGCAAGCATACAATGGTATCATGTCAACGTGATTGTGATTGCCGGAACGGGCCTTTTCACCGGTGCATACGACATGTTTTGCATCCCTACCATCATCAAGCTCTTAGGCCGCCTTTATTACCACGACCACTCCACGAATATGCCAGGAAGGCTGCCTCATAATGTCAATAATTTTATGCTCGGAGTAACCGTGGTCGGGACTCTAACCGGCCAGTTAGTCTTCGGGTGGCTGGGTGATAAACTAGGAAGGAAGAGAGTTTATGGGATTACCCTGATTCTTATGGCCATTTGTGCTATTTGTTCAGGCTTTTCCTTTGGTTTCAGTCCCAAAGCTGTAATGGGAACTCTCTGTTTCTTCAGATTCTGGCTTGGATTTGGCATTGGGGGTGATTATACTCTCTCCGCCACCATTGTGTCTGAGTACGCTAACAAGAAGACTCGTGGGACTTTAATCGCAGCAGTGTTTGCTATGCAAGGTGTTGGCTATGTCTTTGCCGGCCTAGTGTCGATGATTCTTTCAAGAATTTTCCTCGATAAGTACAAAGGGATTCGATTTTCGGATGATGATATTTTGTATGCTGAGCCTGAGGCAGATTATGTTTGGAGAATAGTTTTGATGCTTGGAGCTCTTCCTGCAATTCTCACATTCTACTGGAGGATGAAGATGCCAGAGACGGGGCGATACACAGCACTTATCAAGGGTAATGCTGAACTAGCAGCTTCTGATATGGGTAGAGTTCTTGACATGGAAATTCAAGCTGATCAAGAAAAGTTAGCACAATTCAAGGCAGCTAATGAATACCCTTTATTGTCAAAGGAGTTCTTTCGACGCCATGGCCGACACCTAATTGGTACGACGACTACATGGTTCTTGTTAGACATAGCTTTCTCCAGCCAGCACCTGACTCAAAAGCACATATTTACTACAATGAGACGAGCAAATATTAGCGCTCTGCAGGAAATGTTCGAGACCTCGCGTGACATGTTCTTCATTGCCTTTCTGGGCTCCTTCCCTGGTTACTGGTTCACAGTATATTTCATAGACAAAATAGGCAGGTTCTGTATCCAACTGGTGGGGTTTTTTATGATGTTCAAATTCATGCTTATCATCGGAATAAGTTATGATTACATGAAAAAGGAAAATCACAAGTGGACGTTTGCTGCACTATATGGGCTGACATTTTTCTTCTCCAGTTTTGGCCCCAACAGCACCACGTTTATTCTTCCGGCAGAGCTATTCCCGACAAGATTTAGATCCACTTGCCACTCACTGAGTGCAGTATCAGGGAGGGCAGGGAGCATGATCGGCGTATTTGGAGTGCAAAACTATGTTAAAGATGGAAATGTTAACAAAATTAAGAAAGCCATTATACTTTTGGCCTTCATAAACCTGGTGGGTTTCTTCTGTACTTTACTGGTGAGGGAGACCATGGGGCTGTCGCTGGAGGAGATATCCGGGGAGGACGGCAGCCTGAATGAGACACAGATGCCCACTCTGGCAGTTCGACGGACAACGAATACAATGCAACCTCATGTGGTGCCACAAGATTCTGCTTAGGTGGGAGCCAAGTGGTGCTACTTGTGCCACCAATACGATGTCTTGTTCCTCTAGGAGGCAACGAAAATGTTTACAAAATACATATTTGCTAAGATAAAATATTTCGAAGTTTAAAAGTATTATTTAAATATTAAATTTTATCATAGTAAAATTCTTTATCGAATAATTATGTCTAATATTCATTATTAATTTCGCACTAGATAATCTAACAAATAAATATTGAGCAATGAATCAATAAATTTAATAGTAATTTGCACAAATTATCATCACCATTTGCACCTGATGCTACCAAAAATTATACGTGTTGGTTCCTGAACTTGATGATTGAGGATGAGCACGAATGAGCTCTTCTAGTATCTGAAAAAAAGGTAACGAGGTATGACCTCATCACCCCTCTGATGCTTAGGGGGTGTCTCCTCTATTGAGATTGTGATGAATTTTAAAAGTCATTTTAAATTTAGGTGTTTTCAATTGAGTAAAATATAGGTGTCCCCAATTGACATTTTAATGAAATCCTGTAAAATTTAGGTATACTCAATATTTAGTGAATTTATAAATATTTCATTAATAGAATGATTTTAGAAGATTTGGATGGATTTCAAGTCTAAAAATACATGTAACCAATTTTTTTGAAACTTCAGCATACTTGATGAGATTCTGATGGAATTTGTAAGAATCTATTTAAATCCACGAAATTCATTAGAATTTATAATTTTTTAAAATTCATTAAAATCTTAATTGAGAACACCCCTATTAAGTTAGCGAAAGGGAAAAGATATACGTGTAAAGCTATAAATTGAATGTAAAAGCGTACCTCAATAATGGAATTTGATCATGTATTTATAGATATCGATAATAGACTTGTAAAAGAATCTAACTACATGCAACCCTTATTATTGTCATGCAAAGTGTTTGTATTATATTGAAAGTTTATGTTTTGAGTTTGAATCGAAATGTAATAGGTAAACAATGAAGATATAGGTCATGGGGAATTATATTCGAAGTAGGATTAATGTTTTTCTAGAATGTATAAGATAAGGATTACGTTCAATGACGTACGACCCGACCTTAACATTGAAGCCTGACCTGGATAGATCCGACCTTAGCATGGAAGCCCGATCTTGGTGCTTGGGTAAATGTGGGAAGACAAGATCGGGCTATTAACTTTGAGTCTGACCACATAAACTCGAGGATGTTCTAGCCCTAGGATAGTAGTTGAGGTTATCATGACCTCGAGCATGAGGTCGTGGATGGTCAGGTCATATAGAAATTGTACACACCAACACCTATTAGGCAAATTGTTTCTATCGTTTCAAAATTGATATTTACACCATTATTTCAACATTTTCTTGCTGAGTCGATCATTTTTGTCTCATTGTCATTTCCTTCTGTCAAATATTGGTAATTGAATCAGAATGTCCTTATCGTTTGCTTTCATAGCGCAAATCGTTTCTATCATTTCAATTTTAGCATTTGGAACTCTCCGATCCATCTTTCTTTGCACGAAATCTTTTTATCGACTATTTTCTCCTTTAAAATATTGCAAAATAACTAATTTACCCTCTTTTTAAAATAAACAAATAAAAAAGAAATAAAGAGTACAAAAATAAAGATATAACTCCAGGCAGAGTTCCTAATTTTTTCAAAAATATAACAAATATCACATAAAACAATTAAAACCCACTAACAAAAAGAAAAATATTTCATCTTCCCCTTACCCAACCCTACGCCACATCCCATCCCTTGTCCTCCACCAATACCACCACCATCAAAATAATTAAAAAGAAAAGTAAAAGTATAAAAAAAAAAAGTAAGAAATTAATTAAAAATAGAAAAACTAAAAAAAAAAAAAAAATTAAAATGATTCTTCTTCCCTATCCAATTTTGCATCCAACCACGGGCTATCACCACCATCATTACCTGTTTTCCACATCCCACTAAAAATACCATCCAGGAAATTTAACTATTTTCCTGTAATCAAGTTTTGTGTTTCAGTATCATTTTATTTTTAGCGAATTCTCTAGAATTTTTAGGAATTAGCTATTTTCAACAAATTCTTTTTTATATCTCCTTGTTGCTGAATTATATATACATCTATGCTTATTGCATCAACTTTTGAAATTCACTCTGAAGGTTCATTAGAAAATTCATTCAAGATCTTAATTCAAATCGCAATTCTAATTGTTCTAATTCAAACTCATCTAAGAGTAAAATAAATCCTTTTTTTAAAAAATAGATTTTTTTGTTTTTTTTGTCAATATGTTTTAAATTATTTTAATTGGGACTCGTTTCGCTATTTTGAAAAAATTAGAATTTTGACTGTAATTTTTTTATATTATTTCTTTCTTTTCAATTTGTTTATTTAAAGAAGATGATAAATTAATCATTTTACAATGCTTTAATGAAGAAAATAGATGGTAAGGACATTTTCACAAAGAAATATCGATTTCAGTGTCAAAATGCTAAAAATATCGATTTAAATTTTTTATTAATATTTCAATATAAATTTTAAACATTTGTAATTCTCAAAATTTCTTTTACAATTTCGCATATTTAAACACCTGCCGAAAGAATTTATAAATATTTTAGTTTATAAATAAATAGAAATCAGTGAAGGATAAATTGATAGTATTGGTAGGTCCATTAGAATGTTTGATTAAAAATGAAGTTTGGTCATTTAAAAGATTTATAAATAATTTATAAATTGACTCAAAGGAGGCTTATTAATACATCACTTTAAAATATAGTTGACATATTATTCTAATCATATTAGTACATAATAAAATACAGTGTCAGCTAAATGAACAATAACATTATGAAAATTTATTAAGCCCTTTATGGAAATTAAAATCGGATTTTTAGCAAACTCTGATAAAAGTTGATAAATGTGTGGCTGAAAATTTGTGGATCTCATGATATATGCTGTTAAAACTAATTATTGACTTTAACTTTGATAAAAATATAAATTTTAATTTCAATCAAACACGAGCCAGTGTTCAGTTGAGAAAATATGAGCACGAGTCATGAAGGTTGTGTTTTCCTAAATCGACAAGAATTTTTTTAAGTGGAGCAGAACCTACTAAAGAACAAAGCAATATCAATATAATTTTTTCGACCAATTGAAATCTGACGGTGTTGCTAACGGATTTCTGATAGGAAGCTGTCGGATTTTCTAGGCTAATGACCGGTCATATCTCATAATTCAATATTGCTCTCAAACTCAGCAGAGTGTAATGCTATCCTTAGCATGGACGTGGGCACACCTGGAGTGTACACTGAAATATAGGGACGGATTTAGAATTGGATCCAAAATTGGGCTATAAAATTTTAAATCGGGCTACTGTGGAAAAAAAAATTTACATATAAAAAACTGATTTTTTACCCAAAAAAATAAAAAAATACCTTAAAAAAAAGTTCTTGAACTTGAGTATGGGGGGCTACAGCCCAGCCCAGCCCAACCCCCCTAAATCCGTCACTGTTGAAATGTACAAATAGCATTTCCCTATATATTTCTGCGAAAGGATGGTTGGCTCGCAAACAAATGCCACCTGCATGCAGCACTCCACATCATTGCGACATTAGACTAGTTTTTTAATGGAAAGACTTGCCCCTCTATTAGAGTCCTCAATTTTTCAAAAATCTATTTTTCTCCAAATTTATTTTCAATTCCACGTTCTCTAATAAAATAATTTTATATACAAATTCATATCTTTTTTTTCCCCTTTTATACTTTTTAACCATGCATTATTCAAAAAATCATTATTACAAATCATTATTACAAAATCTATTTTTCCAAAAAAAGGGGCCAAATTTAGACTAAAGGCAACGGAAAATTATCCATGTGTTGAAGGATGTTAAGCAATATTATAAAAATAGGATCGGACCGACCGGTTCAACTGGAAAAACCTTGAACCGACCTTTAATTAGATCTCCTTTCAATGTTTTAGTAATTTTTCAATGTGAGATATTAGCTCCTTTTTAAAGGAGACTATTCTTCAAATGTTATGGTAATCTCTCAATGTGGGATGCTTGTCCATTGTCATTTTTAATTGTTTCCTAGTTTTCTTCATCATTTTCATTAACAAATCATAAATCCCAACAAGATTATAATTTTCAATTTGAACAAAGCAAATTATTTTGGACATATTAATTGTTAGTTTTCAAGGTTATAAAATAAATTAAATAAATCAAATTAATAAATATTGATTACATTTATTTTGAACGAGAAAATTAAAATTTAAAAATATGTTATAGTTATGATATTTTATAGTTTATTTATGTATTTATTTATTTAATTTGTTATCCAGTTCAATTCGACCATTTAATTCTCGACCCTCTTCCTTTTCTGGATCGATGCTCGGGTCGATTTTTAAAACATTGATGTTAAATCCAACATTTGATGCAAGACTATATTTTTTGGCTGAAATATTCTTGCAAATTTTATTCTCTTAACCTCTGCACCTAAATCCTTTTCCTTATTCGATGCATTAAACAAAATCTTTACCTAAATATTTAATTCTTACACAACACAACAATTTGCATGTAAAGTCAACAAAAGTTGCCTTTGGCAACATTGTATCATGAATCTAGATTTCATAGAAAAATTTGAAGGAACAATTATTCGTCACGTTTTTTTTTTTTTGAATTAAAAAAAATTAAAAAAATTCTAAGTTTGAAATTTGAAGACAGTTGCTCAAGTTCAAGACTACAAAATAATTCCAAAGTTATTCTCAAGCAAAAGAAGGGATCTTTTCTTTCAATTTTCACCTCGTGATTCTTTGTTTAATAGCACCTAGTTAGCAAGTCTTTACTTATCGAAAGAGAATTGAGATCAGCTATTCTATTTTTGTTGTCTAATTTGCAGTTTATTCAATTAATTATTGACACGTTATTTTAAATTAATATATCAAACTTTTTTCTCACTTCTCTTTATGCTTAAAAATAGGTGACATTTTAATATAAAATGACGTATCAATAATTAATTTGATGGACAACTAATTTGACAGTAAAAATCAAACAGCATATCTCAACTTATCAAAAGGGTTGGAGGAACGTGTGGGGTGGGGGATGGAACTACCCCCAACATTAACAACTTCGAATAAAAGAAAAGAATTACCCCTATGTAAGCCCTATTTTTGAGAATAGATTTTGTAAGAAAAAAGTGATTTTTTAGAATACGTGGTTAAAAAAATTAGGTTTATGTACGAATTTATATTATTAGGGAAATATATAGTTAAAAATGGATTTAAAAAAAAATTAAAATTATGGGACTCAAAACAAGAGCTAAATAATTTTAACGACGGGAATATAGAGAGAGTCGAGAGAGGGGTCTCGAACTTGGTTTGGAAAATTGCAAGATGGACAATTCAGACGTTACATGTGGGCCTATTTCCATAAAAAAAAAAATGTCAAAAATTAACCCTACTTCTTAGATTAATCCTACTTATATTCTATGACATTAGGGAACATCATGCTCTCGTAATAATACCTATGCATAAGGATACTCGTTAATTATTTCGTTGAAGCTCTTGTTATCCTATAGTCGCCGTAAATGTTCATCTTGATTGGATGATCTAAAGTACTCTTATAAAAAGAGAATAATTGTTAGCTCTGAAATTGAATGTCTCGAATCTCAAATTTCAATAATTATGTTTATCAAGATCATCTTACGAGAGAAGATAGTCTTATAGTACAATGATCTAGACTCCAACCAACACCTCTCGACAAGTGATCAAGGCTCCAAACCAATAAGATCTTGATAAATCCTACATAAAGTGACACTTTAATAGGATATAATGATCAACAAACCAAATAAGCAACATTATAGGATTTAGATGACCAATAGTATTTTACTCGTTGTCAAGCAACTCTAAAGAAGGATTATGTGGCAGATTTATGGCTAATTATTTGGGAATATTGGACTTTTGGGATATGTGCATTAACAATTTCAGGTGGAAAATATACACTTTAAAAGGAACCCCATAATGGGAATCATTGAAAATATAGGAACTACTTTTGAATTTGTATGTTGTTTGGGATTCAAGTTTCTGGACATATAATAACTGATAATGATGAGACAAATTTATATTTATTTTACTTTTACATATAATAACATAATTTTATTTGTTTTCGAGTCCGAATCGGACCAAGGCACTTGATTGGACATAACACAAAATCTTGTTCAAAGAGTCAGTTACGGAAATATTGTAACTCACGATCATTTTAACTTGTTAGTGTACCACTTACAGAATCCTCGAAGTGAATTATATCCCAAGGCCTTGACACCCTTAATGTCATCTAAGCGCAGATACAAATTTAGGATTGAAATCGATAAATTTGATTTATCTTGTTAGGAAAAGAAAAGTAGTTAAAATTCTTGGACTATGAATAAAAAAAGTTGTGATAATTGAATGTTACAAAATTTTGAAAAATAAAAACTTCTTTTGTAAATGCATGTTTGGAGAAGCTTAAAAAATCAACTTATAAATAAAAAGTAAATTTTAAGATAAAATAATTTTTTGTTGGTCAAAAAAAATTACTCACTGCCACTTTCTAGAATTAGTCATTTTTAGGCCTTGAGAGAAGAAAAAGGAGGTTGGAAAATATTCCCTTTTTTGAGTTTGTTTCGCTTGGCTTTTCTTGTATTTTACTATTTTTCATCCCTCGGACTTTTGTTCAAAAGTTTTACACGAGAACGCGTAAAATGAATGTTCGTAACGCAACAGACTTTATTATCAAATAATTAAACCTTTTACTAATAAAAAAAAAAAAAAAAATTAAAAGGGTTAAAAAAAAAAAAAATTAAAAGGGTTAAAAAAAAAAAAAATTCAAATGTGTTAACACAAAAAATAATTACTTAAAATTAAGTGTTGCATAGTTTGTATGCTTAGTCAAACATGAATCTTGATAAGATTTATACATAGCCCCCAAGCACATCCCAACTGGTAAAGATGAGGGCGCTTCAAGACTGGCAGATCAGAAGTCGTGAGTTCGATTTTTGGAAGGCTCTTGGAAGACAGATATTCTCTTGGAAGGCAGGATTTATTCTGGAAGGCAGGAACTCTACTGAAAGGCAAGGTGCAAAGATGGGAAACAACTTACTTGACACTTTGGCAGATCACTTGGGGGGGCTCTTGAGCACTGGTCAGTTTGGGGCACAATTTGCAGTTTAACCTGTCTGCAATTTGAGGGACCAAGGTGTAGACTCCAGGATTTAGTCACTGTAAGGTGGATACCTGGATATCAAAAAAAAAAAAAACGATTTATATATAGTTTTTAGCAAAGTAAGAATAATAAGAAATTAATATAATTAAATTATTGTCTTTTTAAAGAGAAGGGAATTTGGCAGCCTTTTTGCGAAAAAGTCACCATCAAGGCTGCCTTCAAAGTCATTTCTTCACTTAATACAACTGGTTCATGGAAGATTCCAACTTCCAGACAAAATTCATCCTCCAAAATATAAAATGTGAAAAAGAAAATAGAAAATTACAATCCAACCATTTATTTCTCTATTGAAATAAGACTTAGGTGTTCGAAAAATCTTTTATACGTAGAATGAAGATTTTTTAGTAATTAATCTTAAAAGTCATGAACGATTACGCGTGATGCAATCGCTGAATACTTGATAATCTAACGGAGCTAATCCTACTAAATCCATGGGCCGAACTGGGCACATAGCTGTAGGCTTTGAACAAAATGTCTCATAAATGATTGGTTCAGGACTACTATTGTTGATTTTATCCCGTAAATTTGCATCATAGACAAATTATAAATTTTAAACTAAACTAGCCTCAATTTGACACACACACACACACACACAATTCCCTAATTGTGTGATTGATTTTAACTTTATATAATTATCAACTAAAAATAAGCAATTAAAGATAAACAACAAATTCTTGAAGTTTATTCAAATCATGAAAGGAACTAGGATCATGAATTGTTAATCTACTTTAATTTCCAACTCCTCGATTATAATCAGTAACTATTGTCGTAGTCAATCAATCATATACTTCTAACTTATTATCTCTAATTGAATTATGAACATATAAATATACATTAATTTTACACGTAGGTTCAAATTTTATTTTTTAATCACATATTCTCTAAAAGCTCACCATTACAGCATATATTTTTGGTTAAAAAACGATGCTCAAATAGGGGCTAAATATAGAATAAATTTAAAAATTTAAACACGAGGTTACCGAAAATGATGTGGTGGGAAAATATTGAATGTAAAAGTTGAATATATTTTAAATTAACAGATGATAATGTGCCACGTGGACATTATGTAATCTCTATAGTTATCTGTCAAGTTGCTGGCACCATGCACTGGTCAAGGTCAACCATCTTCTCGACTTTACAGTGCACAGAATTTTTTAACCAAAGAGCCAAGAAGCCGCCTCGATTCTTCTTCGTTAATTTCCATTAAATCATTCTCTTATATATATATATGATGTGTACGTATCTATATCCTACCAACTCCATTTGCAAAGCAAAACGATAGAGTTGACCTCTTCAATTCTGCGATCTTCCCCTTCATCTCTCAATTCCTTTTCTCTCTGATTCTTGAAAATGGTGATGCTTGTGGACTGTTCCAAGTGCCGTACCACCTTGCAGCTCCCACACGGAGCAAAATCCATACGCTGTGCAGTCTGCCACGCCATCACTCTCATCGGCGAACCCCGCAACTCGCCACCTACGCCGCCACCAACTTATCTCCCATCTCCCACCACCTTGAGTACCAGCAACTATAACTACTATGCTCCCCCGCAGGTACATCCTCCGGCACCTGTTTCAGCTCCGTCGCCGTACAACCACGCTCCACCAAGCCAACCACCATCGGTCCACGGACGCAAAAAGGCCGTGATAATTGGGATCTCGTACAAGAAATCGAAGAATGAGCTCAAGGGTTGCATTAATGATGCTAAGTGCATGAAGTTCATGTTGGTCAACCGCTTCAAGTTCCCTGAAGCCTCCATTCTCATGCTTACTGGTAATCAAACTGAAAAAAGATTTTATTAAAATTTGGAAACTTTTGATTAGATTTATTGCGGCTTTACAAATATATAAATAGGTACAGTATATTGTCAAATTTATCTTTGATGATTCATGAATCTATGATTTATCGTGGGTTTGGCTTAGTGAACATGAATTTTGCAAGTTGCATTATTAGACTTTTCTCGCCAGACTTTTATATTATTGTCCTCTTGGCTTAAAAGAATAGGAGTAATATAGAATAAAGAGCTTTTATATTGGAGAAAAACGATCGGGCTGGAAAATAGTTTTATTTTCCCAATCTTTATTTTTATGTAAAATATTAAATATCTGTATACTAAAATGCCTTCTTTAACATTGACCTAAGTTTGATAGAAATCAACCTCAATCTGGTTAAATTCGGCTCTTAATTCTCCTCTCAAAGATATGAATATATGGAGATTTGTATACTTCGACCTAGAAGCGTAGAAGAGCTAAGTGCTACCTAGGCTTGGAATTATGCTTCTTGTACATTCAAGTTTGACATCCCTTATGTGTAGGAAATTTGACCATTGATTGGAAAAAGTTTTGTTAAAATCAACGGACAAAAATTTGCCAACTCAATGTCAACTTGATGTACTTGTAGCATGATTGTTTGGCTTGCGACATCCCTGTTTCTTGAAAGTCCCTCCCAGGTAGTAAGGGTCGATTTGTCCTTTGACTCGTATGAGAAGTCAGGTTGTGCCAGCTAAGGTACTAAAAGCAAGTGGCCTGCTGTCCGGATGCCTTTACCAAGCCATGCCTGGCAGCATGGCAGGGTCTTTAGGAAACCAGGGCAGCGACGGGCCTTGGCATGGACCACTGCGAGTACTAAAGGTATCGGCTGCATCCGACATCCAAAAGTTAGCTGGTTCTGTGAATAGAAATGGGTCATCAAGAATCATTGTTTGTTGAACCACTTGTCTAAAACTTAAGCCGACTGAGAGGGCATTTAAATTTAATCTTCAACATGTGCAAACCAGATTTACAAGATGTAAAGATGGACAGCCATATCCACAATGAAAACGAAAGATTAGAGAGAAACTGGAACATCTCATCTGAAACTCATTGTTAGAGGAATTGATTCCTTGCCAATGTTTCACCTTGTGAAACTCTAGTTATTCTATTTCTTCTACCACAAGAACTGAATCTGCTATAATGGATATTGAACTCCTCGTAATCATAATTCAATAAAGTCATAAAAGGTAGGTCCCTGACTCCCTAAGGTGAGGAATCTTAGTGTAGTTTCCTTTTAGGCTTGACTAAAGTTTCACTAAAGAGTTTGAAAGGATCTCCCAACAGCGCAATATTGTTAACTTCGATAACAACAACATCCAATCAGGGTCGTGAATCAGCTACAACACCTTGCTTCTTGGTTAATACACTATATTGGGACGACTCTACTATATAAATAACAAGATTTAAACTTCTTTTACTTTTTAATCCTCCCTACCAAAGATGTCAAATAAGTCTCAAACTTATCAGGTTCCTGCATACGTTCTAAAGAACAACTTAGTACGATGAATATCAAACCTTGTGTAGATTACAATAATAATGATGTCGAACCAAGCAGCTTTTCATAGTAAAACATTCTACTGATATTCCTTTACATTTTTCTAACAATTTATAATGGTAACACCTTTTCATATCTGGCTATTCTGATCGAAATCATCCTGTGGAAGTATTTTTCAGAAGAAGAAACTGATCCATACAGAATTCCAACTAAACATAACATCAGGATGGCAATGTTTTGGCTTGTACAAGGTTGTCAGCCTGGGGATTCCCTGGTGTTTCATTATTCTGGGCATGGTTCACAACAGAGAAACTACACTGGAGACGAGATAGATGGATATGACGAAACACTTTGCCCATTGGACTATGAAACACAGGGAATGATCGTGGACGATGAAATTAATGCAACAATCGTTAAGCCTCTCCCTCGTGGAGTCAAGCTCCATGCGGTCATAGATGCCTGTCATAGTGGTACCGTACTAGATTTACCATATCTTTGTCGAATGGACAGGTTTGTGTGAATCTCAGTATCTATTATAACCTTTTTCGCACTAAATACTGTTTTTAAAAATATGTGTGCGTGAATGCAGAACGGGGCGTTATGCATGGGAAGATCATCGTCCTCCATCAGGTGCTTGGAAAGGAACTAGCGGTGGAGAAGTCATATCCTTCAGTGGCTGCGACGATGATCAAACTTCTGCTGATACTGCTGTAAGCCTTATTCTCTATGTTCAAAACTTTTTAGTTTCAAGTTCTAGAAATTAATGGGTTGATGTAAGCTACAATTTGAACACTGAACAGGCTCTATCCAAGGTTACTTCAACAGGGGCAATGACTTATGCTTTTATCCAAGCAATCGAACGCGGGCAAGGAACTACATACGGAAGTATTCTAAGTGCAATGCGATCTACCATCCGAAAGACTGATGATGAGATAGGAGGGAGCGTTGTCACAACGCTCCTCACAATGCTCCTGACCGGGGGAAGTGCTGGTATCGGAATGTCACAGGTATACTCTCGACCATTAGAGATGGAGGACTGTTCGAATAAATGTTTGGATATGTCACTCCGTAATCCGTATTATCAAGAGGAATAACAAAAAGTTGTTTTCACTTTGGATATATCTTAGATTTTATGTTCATCTCGCTGCAGGAACCACAACTTACTGCTAATGAACCATTTGATGTATACACGAAGCCATTTTCACTATGAGTTAAGCATACAGAGGACCCGTTTCTGCAGCAAAAAATGAAGTGCCGAGCTAGCTTCTGGCTTCTAAGCTATTTAGAAGCATGAAAATGTACAGTTCTTGATTTTCTTTCGATTAATTTGTAAATTACAACTTCTGGGGTTTAATTAACTCGAACTTTATCGTGTTGCTACGAATTGCTGGAGTTATTATATTGCATTAAAATTTTCCCTTGGACTAAAAGCATAAAAAAATCAATTGGTGTGTCTTCTTATGTTTTTCTTCTGTACCTGTACATTGAAAAGTTTATCCTTAGTAGACTGGTTCATTTGCATGTGTATTTGACAAGGGGTGTTGCTATTAAGACAGGGCCAAATGACAGGCCCTGTGGCAGTACATCGGGTCACTATAGCAGGTTTCTTTGACAAGGTATCATACAGTAATGACACGTTTTGACTTGGGATGATGAAAGATTGAACAGCAGCAACACAAGATTGGAGAGAGTGAGAGATCACGTTGAAGGAAATTACCGGCAAAAAACACAATATATCATCATTTTAATATTCAGTCGAATTATTTGGAATCTAATCATATGTTCAAGAAAAGCATCAATAAATGTCAACTTCTTTTTCATATTTATTTCAAGAAATTATTTTTACACCAGGACCCCGAGATATTTGTTTCAAATGAGCTGGAAACCAGCATTTAAACACGGAAACAAGCGAGAAATTAAGTAGACGTCAAAGGAAGAATAGTAGGAAAATTAAATGGGTTGAATACGCGCCTTTCTTCTAGTCTTAACCAGTAAGAGCAGCATTGAGAGCACTGTGTACATCAACCCCAATTTGTGCTTCGGCTTTCTCCACGTCGGTCGATGCTGAGTTTAGTTTCTGTGTGAACTCAGTGAGGCCTTTCTGAACCAGGCTCGGATCAATTTGGTCAAGCGGTGTGGCCTCGACAGCCATTATATCTGCAACAGAATTTGCATGGATAAAAGCAAACCCGCTGCTGAGAAAATATTTTTTTACCTCATTACCTTCATGAACTGATAGAACACCGGGCTTCAGTTCAGCAATTGTGGCCACATGGCCAGGCAAAACACCCATCTGCCCAGTAGTAGCTGGGACTATAACCATGTCAACCTGAAAAGTCATGCACAGAAGGATGAGAGAGATACCAGACCACTATAATATGACAACAACAAGCGAAGCTTGATCCCAATAAAATTAAGGTAGCCTACGTGAATCCTGTTTCTCCACTCTTTCTAGTTTATGCTATGATCCACCATAAGATATAAAACAACTAGATTGTCAGCAACTAAAACAGACTATGATGGCTTTAGTTTACACACACACCCTCCTAATATTTGTTCTGCCGAGACGGCACTACTCTTATAACTGGGAGTCCACTTAGGTATATGCAAAACACGTCCCCTCCAACAAATCCATCTTAGCTCATCATTTTGTAAGTTTATTTTACGATAATTCATTTTTTTTTTTTTTAACCAGACCAACACTTAAAGATGGCACTGTATAAATTACAGACTTAAAACTTTCAATGCAATTTACCATCTGATATCTTTCCATCAACCAGACTATGGAAGTATTTGAAGTTCAAGGATAGAGCCAGATCAAGGTAATCAACTGTGCACTCATAATTAACTGGAGGTATGGGAGGCTGACCACATATTTATATCACTATGTATTGGATCTCACTAATCAACAATTCCTACAGTTATCTGTTAAGAGGCTGCAAGATAGAACTAGATTGATGACTCTGCACTACCTGATTACAAAATGATTCACGAGTTGACAAGTTCTATCAGAATCAAAATGGACTATACATGGAGCTTATATAGTTATTTGTGAAATATATAACGATATTGTCACTTAAAACAGTTTAAAGTAACAAAAGCTCCAGTGGAATCTAAGAATAAATTATCAAGAAGTTAATTTGGAATCCATGGGCGACAGGAATTCTGATTGTCAAGTCGAAAATGCTATTAGATATCACTTTTGCCACTTGAAAACCAGAATAGATCAAAAGAATAAAAGCAGTACCTATCCTAACCATGAGTGCTAACAGTAGCAGGGAAATCATTTCGGATGGAACATGATGGAAGACTAGGCTCTAATACTTTGTACAGCAAACATACATGTAGTTAATGGGCATATAGTTTGAACAAAGCTCCATGATACAATTATTCACCAATGCTGATTTATTATGGGTAAGGGATAAGCTAAGAAAATCATAATGAGAATGTGGACATTTTCTCCAAACACTACATCAACAGACCTTTATATTGTGCCAAGGCTTATCAGGCCTCAAGAGCTTCAGATCTCAAAAGATTGAATCTCCCAGGTTCAACTATAATACAAATAGAAATGTCATCATACAACGCCATTTAATTACAACATATCTTCATCTTCCTGTGCACGAATACAGAAATCTTGATGCACTAGGCAAGAAAGTTTATTTGAAAAAAATCAAACAGAAAAATAATTAAGAATGGACAGTTTGAGCTATAGAAAAATTAATTAAGAATGGCACAGTTTAAGAACCCTTTTAGCACTAGGCAATGTCTGGACCGATTAGCTCAGTTAGGCAGCAAAGAACAAATGAAAAGAGATCAAAATCAATAGTGGCAAGGAAGTTGTACCCCCCACCCCCACTCCACCCAAAAAATAATAATAAAAAAATAAAATAAAAAAATCCAAAAAAAGTTCTTGAACAATTTAAAAGATAGAAATCGATTTTGTGCATTACACCATTTCTTTGTTACAATTTTATAATACATTAGTATGTAATTGCCTTTATATGGGGTGTACATTCAATCACAAACGTGTATATGGACATTTGTGTGCACAAAATTGGAGGCTTTGAATCAGAAATCAGAGACAGCATCGGTCAATTTCAATCACGTCTTACGTATCTAAGCTTCCGATCTATATTATTTGAGGTAATTTTATCAATTATCCAAGAATAATAATTTGAACATTTTTCTTGACCCTAAACTTCAGATTATTCTCAAACCAAAAACAAGAAGCAATTGTAAGATACCAAAATTCAAAAATTTCACAGTACAAAACTCACACCAAAAAATAATATATAATTGCAATGATAAAGTCATATTTATTCATATAAACCTATAATATACCTCTTTCGCGGATAATAAGGAATCGTAAGGAAGAACGAGATTGACAGTGAGCTTGGAGGGAATGGTAGAAGGGGTCGGTGGGCGAGGGGTCATGAATGCCGACGGAGTCTTCGGTGGGTCGATGTTCGGGATCGCTTTCTTCCAGGAGTCCACGAATTTCGAGTCTGCGGGTGTCTCCGCCACGACATCGGTGGAGAATGGCCGGCTCCACCTCATAGCAGCTCTGCTCATGAGGAATCGTGAAGACTGTCTCAACATTTTCCCTCGTGATTTTCTGAATTTCGAGGCTGAGGTTTTGCGTGCAATGAAAGACTGGAGTTTTGGGGAAAGTGGAAGATGAGCGTAGGGCGGGTCAAAACCGGATCAATAGCCTGAACTGAACCTAAATATTGGAACGGGTATTTGAATGGTGGATTCTCGATTCTAGATCTGGAATAATCTAAGGCCCCGTTTGGTATGGAATTTTTGCCCCAAAAAATTGATTTTTTGACCGTTATTTTACTATTCAAGCCGTAATTTTTGACTTCTTCTCTCACATGTGGACCCCACTTTTTTTCTAACGGTCAAAAAATCAATTCTCAAAATCCCTACCAAACGGGGCCTAAATAAATTTACTAACTAGTTAATTTAGCTATAACTCAAAAATATGATTTTTCTATATCTAATTTTCAATGCAAACATAACTTAATCAAGTTGATATAAGTTTAACCCAAATTTTTTATTCAGTTATTCTACTGTAGTATCGTTTCTATAATTATGGAGAAATCGAATTAAAACTCGACGGAACCTCTCTTAATTATTGTAAACTCGCTATCTTCCTCTTCTATTATTTTAACAATCAAATTTATAGAAAACTCAGTAAAGAAAAACACAAAAGACATATAAGATTAGATTGCATTATTTTGTAAGAGTTAAGATTCAACGTGTTATTATTTGAATTAATGTAGTTTTGTGAATATTAAAAAAAAATTATAGTACATAACCTGATAATCAAATAGAACGGAACCCAAACGGCTCCATAATTAAATTTGAACCTTGGCGTTTCACTTACTAAATACCCAAAACAAGAATCGAATTGAACCATGTCAAGTCGTAGATGAGAGAGAGAGAGAGATTGAGATTGAGATTGAGATTGAAATTGGATAGTTGGAGTAACAAATATGTGTCATCAAGAAAAATCCAGCCCAGGTAAACAATCTTTAGGCCCATAATTTTTTTTTTTTTAAAGTCAAAATTAATAATTAATTAATTAATTTTAACCACACATTTCATGGAAGTCATAGTTTTTATCAAATTTTTTAATGACATACTTCATCATCTTTTATCCAATTTATTAAAAATTTGATTTTCAACTAAACCAAACAGGGGATCTCAATATTCACATCCACAAAGATCGACGACAGATTGCTACGTAAAGAAGCTACGATGAACATTACCAATGGATTCAATAACGAAATATGGTACTTGCTGAATACCAAAACCGTGTTTGAAAAGTATTTACTCATGCAAATAAAGAGAGTAATACAAATCACCTGCAACAAAATTCAAATCCTCAAAACAATAAACTGGAATTCTACAGCCGCAGATCAGCGAAGTCACTGACTGTAACTACACAATGCATCAAAAGAGACTGATAACGAGATGCAGCAAGATTAACAACAGATGGCCGAGTGAACGGGCTAAATGTGGAGTCGAGGGTGACAAGAATTCATTCCCATGAAGGTTTCGTCTCTCTTGATATATCATCCTTGATCCACTTTTGAATCCATTTGATAACAAAGAAATACTGTTAAGAAGTAAAAGAAATAATCAAGCGATAGTCTATTTATTTTATTCCAGCATAAGAGCATCCAAATGAACTCCTCCCAGGATTCTCCAATCCCTGTTGTTTTAGTTGAAAATAGTGGGAGATTCGAATCTCCCACTATTTTCAACTAAAACAACAGGGATTGGAGAATCCTGGGAGCAGAAATAGATGACGTTAGAATTAAGGGAAAAATATACAAAAAATATTCTTTAGGGATCATATGCACAACATGTTCAAATTATGATAACTAAGAAAGTTGATAAAGAACGTGCAAAAAATGTAAAATTATGATGCAATCTTAGCCATGTGGTAGAATAGTAGCAAATATTTGTGCAGGGTATTTAAGCTATATTCTGTAAGCTCCAACTGCTTTTATCGGGAGATGCAATGAACTCTACCTCCAGATATGGGGTTACAGACACCCGGAAGAAAAAATAAAAATAAAAAAATAAAAAATGAAAAGAACATAACAAGACTAAGAGAGAGAGAGATCTGCAGATGGTGCTGGAGAAGAGAATACATTTCTGCACCCCTTCAAATTGAAATTGACTTAGCATAATTTTTTTATTTTTTCTTACCAAATGAAAACTAAAATATAACATGTCTAATACATGTGCTTCCTCCATGTTTATAGTCATCTAACTTCTTTTTTTTCGTTTTATCAATTTATTTACCAAATGCAATACTACTAAGCAGTGGGAATTAAGCAATGAGACAAGGTTTTCCCTGCCTATATACATACAAAGAATTTTATCAGAAGGAATCATAAAGGACAATATGATAGCTCATCTTTGAGCATGAATCATTATTGAAGCATCAGACATACAATTCTCAATAAAGAAATTCTTCATTTTCCTTGTCCTAAGCTTTTAAATAGAATAGTCGGTGATTTTATGGGTTTTCCCTGAGTTTCCCTAGTGCTTGTGAAGAACTGTCAGAAGTAGCAGGTTTTTGCAGATGTGGTAATGGCAGATGATATGATTCCAAAGAAGAGTGGGATTACAGCTCTGGTCCAAAATTCTTGAGAAATAAAGGGATACCCAGCGACAGAGTGATGATTGTTGCTGTCGGAAGTGTGTTGGCAACGAGAGTTCAGATCTACATGCTTGCTGGTAATTGGCATGGAGCAAGTGAGAGGGGAGGCGATGTGAGTTTATGTGAAACTTTCTGTGGTGCATGGGATCTGAAAGCTAGGCCTCATTAACCAAGGACGGATTTAGGGGGGGACTAGCTGGGCTGTAGTCCCCCCTCTACCAGGCCCAATTAATATTTTTTTAGGGTAATCTCCCCTTATTTTTGATAAAAACAGATTTTTAATGTGTAAATTTTTATTTTTTTTTCACATATTAGCCCGGCTTGAAATTTTTTAGTCCGGTCTTGAATTCAATCCTAGATCCATTCCTGTCATTAACGATCAGTAATTCAGTGTAGTTAAGTCTCTTTCGGTAACGGCGCAGATAGACTTTTGAACATAGCCAAGCAAGCATGATTTCATTAAGAATTGAGTTTGACATTAAGTTTTATATTGTGCCATTTGGCGATATCACATTGGAGAGTTTTTGAAAAAAATACACTTTCCTGCCAAATCCATTTTTAAAAACATTAGAAAACAATGGAGTATCAAACTCCATGTCAAGCAAACAATGTGTAAGAAGCTTTATTCTTTCATTAATACTTAAGAATTTCGAAAAATAAAAAATGAAAAACTGAGAATAACTTAGCTACCAAATGGACCCTAGGTCTATTGTCCGTCTTTCAATGGGAGACTTTCATTTTTTACTCAAATATTGAAAATTTAACAGTATTATTCGTTGATACAGGATTAGAAAAATTTTGTATCCATTGTTTAACAGACAAGCTCGTTCAGCAGCAGCAGGTCTCCTTTTCTTTTCCAAAGAGACCTGACAAATGCATGGATATCTAAATAATTTGTATAAGCTCACGAACAAATCTTGTCTTCAAAGTCTAGATGGAACAACTTCCTTCCTGAGTTCATACTAGTTCATTTTTTGTAGTTGACAGCTTCAAAGTTTAGAAGTTTCGATTTTGTTAGAATTCTCATCCACATACTCAAGCATTCTAGAAATGCTTGCCAAAGTTTTTATCTTGAAAATCCATACTAAAACCTCAACAGTGGTGCTTCAAAACTACATATTATGGGTAAACTCAAAGCCATTAAAAAAGAATTGCATATTTTGCATCCGGCTACTTTCATCAATATTTTTATGGAATTAAAAGCTGAGGGATATATATAAGCTGAACAGAAAATATTTATTTTACTGCCCAGGTTTTCCCTAGAAAATTTTCTGAAATTCAGGAAAATGTGTTCAGCCATGTTGGATCTTGAACCTAACAATTTCATTCTTTTTGAGCAATTTCAACTTCCTCCCACCTCACCCATAGAAAGATTGAGTCCTTCAAAAAGAAAATAAATAGCAAGGGTATAATGATGAATCAAACCTGAATTTCCTTTTTGCTTATCCTTGATCCCTGTCGGACAACTTTCATAAGGGACTCTGTTCTTTTGGAGAAGAACTCTTCATAATTCAATCCATCTGGAGGTGAGAACTGAGCATGTGTAAGGGCTACAATTCCTTTACGCCATATTTCTTTGCTGAAACTATATTTTATAGCTTTCACAACCTGCTTATCCAAATTATCTACTCTATACAGATCCAAACGATCCACATAGAGCAGAACATCTATCGTCTTGTTCAAAAGGAACCTGGTCAGACAACAACAGCAAATTAATTGCCACGAAAACCCAACTGGACTCAGAAAAACACAATCATAATATGTGAAACTAAAACAATTTGATGGGAGCTAGTGATTGACTCAAACCTTTTTATGGTCTCACGCACCGTATCACTGACATAAGCTCCTTCAACAAGCCCCGGGGTGTCAATAATGTTCAATGTAAATCCTGCCCGGAACGTGAAACCATCACTGGTCTAAGTGTTTCTGACTGAAATATTTCAGAGATAGAAAGATGAACTAACACTAACATCATGATCATCAAATATTAAAAATGAAAGAAAAAGTTCGGCTTCATTCTCAAAACCAGGCCCAGCAGTATGTACGTGGAAAGAACTAACACTAACTACTCGATCCCCTATAATTGAGTTCACTGTGGAAGATTTTCCAACACAACCCTTCCCCAGAACAAGGATCGTCAATGTGCTGACATTCTACAATGATTGATAAACAGCATTAGAGACCCAGATTCGCATAATATACAGTACAGTACAGTACAGTACACAGTCAACAATGCCACCCTAGTTGAAAAGAAGGCAATTTATAATCGTACTAAGATAGTAAAACATGTTTCTTTTCAAGTTGCGCACACAATAAAATTAAAGAGATTCTAATTTCATTCATTATTTTCAGTAAAGCGCATTTTTTTTTAAGTGAGCAACAGATTGCATAATGTAGTAAAAATATGCTAAATTTAAAAGGGAAAACCAGAACCTCCTGCTTTAATTTTCCCAACAGTTCAAGCAATCTGTCCTGGGTAGCTGCAGGAAACTGCTTAATTGCAGTCCATTCTTTGACTAATTGTGTGGCCATTTATCTCGGCCAATTGAAACAACAAAGAAAGAGTGATCTATCAAAATACAAAGGGAGATCCCAGTGGAGGAGCCACATTGAGACGAGTGCGGGCATATGCCCGCACTGAATTTTACAATTTTTTTTTTTTTTTTTTTTTTTTTTATCAACAAGGGAGGTGGAATAAAAGCATCTTTTAATTCACACGAGCTTTATTTTTAGGTCCAAACTCATGATTTTATTTTATAATTTTATCATCATTAAATTTATGATCAAAACACAATATTCGACATGGGTTAAATCAAGGGCGGACCCAGACCTTTAGTATTGTGGAGTCAAAATTTTAAAAATAATTTTTTTAATAAACAACATAATATCAATGAAAATAAGTTTATATGTATTTTGACAATTTTAAAACGTAGAATAATTACATTATTATTAATATTATTAAATAAATTTTGCTACTTATAAAGTTTTGTTTATTATTTCATTGACAAATACTGAGCTAACATTGAGTAAATTAAATAAAATATAGAAATTAAATGAATTGAAATAAAATTCAAGTTTAATTCAGGAAGTAAATGAAATTCAAATTTAAAACAAATATAATTCGAAAATAATTCAAATTACATTTAATCCATAACGATTCTAAAAAATTTACATTATATTTCATATAAGACTTCCGAATGAAACGATATAAATTATATTGAAAAATTTATCGTGTAAAAATAATAATTAATTGAATTTTTTAAAAGAAAAAATGAGTTAGACGTCTTTTTTGAGGCGTACGTTTAATACATATTTAACTATTTTCGATATCCGTTTGGACCATTCGATATGAAAATGATGTAGTTTTCGAAACAAACTTTTACATGGCATAGACGATTTGTGGATTTAGATAGCACATGATCGAAAACAAATTTTTAAAGTTAGGATATTATCGAAATTCTCAAAATACTAGTTTCAAACGCCCTACTTTAACATGTCATAACTTTTGCTATAGTTGACCACTTCGCATGCTATTAATAAGTGAAAAATTAGGTCATGAACACTTCGAAATGGTATTAAGAATGCAATATTTTGACTTCATTTGACATCTCGACGAGTGCATCAAAGTAGATTGTTAAAAAAAAACAGGGGCAAAATTTTGTGGGGGTCATTTGACTCCACATTACTCCATGTGGGTCCGTCTCTGGGTTAAATTATACTCGCACTGAAAATATTTCATGGCTCCACCCCTGGAGATCCCCTCATGAAGTTCAAACATAACCACATATTCAGAGAAAAAAAGATAAAGATGCAAACTTTACTGGAAAATTACGCAATCAAAACAACTCTTTATAGTTTATAACACCACGAGATAAAAACTTTCTGAAGTAACAAACAACTATAAAGAGATAGCATAAGAAGAACCCTTTTCAAAATAAACCTAAACCCCCCCCCCCCCCCCAAAAAAAAAAAAAAAAAAAAAAAAA